GGAAGCTGGTGTTCCTTGTGGGCATTGTCCTGATGCTCAGTGATGTTCCTTCGTAAGTGCCCCCACTTCCCCACTTGCCCCTTCCCCGGGGCCCTGCTCCCTTCGTGCCCAGTGTGACTGCAGATGCCACTGTTCTGGATCCGGGCTCAATGGTAGGCTCTGAAAATGGGAAGAGACAGAGGCAGTGTTGACGTGGTGAAGAACCTGCTAAGGATGCTCATCTAGATCTAGGTTGTAAAACTCAGGGGGGTTGGTGGGAGATGGGCCTTTCTGTAATGATTTTTATTTTTTTTAAATGCAGCTGCAGGCTCATTAGAGGATTGAGGCCAAGTAGCCTGAGCTGTGAAAGCAGCGTGGGGCTGTCTGTGCCTGAGTGAGCTACCGGCCTCCCTGGGGCCACTAGCCATAGGGCTTCCACCTTCCAAGGTGGAGCTGTTGGCCAAGGCGGGAACTGGAAGCGGGGATAAACAGGGATAAGAGGGGCCATGGGTTCCACTTGAGGGGGTGAGGGGCCTCGTCCACATTTAGGAGTTTTTTATTTGTGCTTGTGGCTCCTTTTGCCTCCTGACTTCGCAGGATTCGGCAGAGCGCAGTGACGACAGATGCCGAGGAGCCTCCCTCCTCCTCCTGGGCTGAAGCTGCGGCCGCTTCCACATCTATTTTGGAATAGGGGAGCATGGATGTGGCCGGTGGCTCCTCGGTTGTCATGTTGCACATCTGCACTGCTCAAGAGGCGTTCTGGATTTTACGGGCGTACTCTAGAGGGAGCCATTGACTCAGCGTGGCTCCAAACGCGTCCATCGGGGTCCCTTGGTACAAACTCACGACACAGCCCAGCTGCCACGAGCGGAACCCCTCTGTAAGAGGCTCGAAGGGGCTTGCCTGATGCGGGAGGAGGTTTCGGTGGGGTAGTGAAAGCCGCTGCTCATTGCACTGCTGTACGTCTGTCTGTCCTCAGCGACTGGGTCTGTCAGTGCCTGCTGGAGCAGGCATCACTTTGTGATCCCTGAGCGCTTCTGCAAATATGGCCTCTTACAGTGTTCAGGAATTAGTTGGGACTTCTGCGGCCAATGTATTTGGCATTGCCATTTGCTTGTCATTAATGCTAAATTAATACAGCTGATGCTAATTATGAAATACATTAATGCTGCGGGGCAGCAAGGTAGGGGTTTGGTGGCGCTGCACTTGCATGCGGGAAGTGATGTGAACTGTGTCCTGCTTCCAGTAAATACGGGGAGGTGGCATTGCCCTCCCTCTGCACCCGTCTTGGATCTGGGCAATCGCACTTCCTAGCTCCGCGGGGGGGAACCCCCCGGAAGCGCCTGCCATCTGCTGCTGTGTGTGTCTGACGGCTGGGGCAGCCGCCCGGGCCAACAGCCGCTGCCCGGCCGGGCTGGGCCGGGTGTTGCAGTGTGGGCTGGCGGGAGAAGGATGGGATGAGCGGGTCTGCAGTGGGCGCGGGGCAGATTCCCGTGCATGCCAGCCTTCGGGAACTTTCTGTTCAGTGAAGCTGCGAGGTGTCTGGGAGACATGGCCAACGTGGTCTATAGCGCCTGCAGAGGAATGTAGCAATGGAGCCTGTATTTTAAACTTGAAAGCTGGCCAAGGGACGTGGAGATTTGCAAGTTCTCTGGCAAAAAAAAAGGAAATTCTGGCTTTTTCTTAAGGAAGCAGATCCCTTCCCTCCATTCGGGATTGGAGCCGAGCCGGTCATGGTGGAGTGTCAGCGTTAGCAGGAGTTGTGCTGGTTGCTCACTGCACATCGGCCTCAAAGATTTTTGGGGAGCTGCTGCCCATCAGAGCTGCATTCCACCCTGCTGCCCTGGCAAACCGGAGAGGGCTGTGACAAGAGAAAATGGCCGGAGTGTTCAAATATTTGCTCTTGGTGGCACTTCGATTCCTTCTGAGCTGACGTGGGATTGAGTCGTTAAGAGAGGGGTGAAGCCCTTCCTCTCTGGCAGGAGGCCAGCAGTACTGAGTGGGACAGTGCGGCCCTGGAAGCACTCGGGGGGGTCCCTTCGTGGGCTGTGCTGGTTTTGCTCATCCAGCACAGCTTTGCCGTGGCGTGTGGTGCCATGGGAGCCACTGGCGGTGGTGGGGTGACGCCGGGCTGCGCCCCGCCACGCTGCTGACCCGGGCTGATTCACCTCGTCCTGCCCGCAGCTCTGCGGGTGCTCGGAGGGGTGAGTTGCTCTGAGCCCCTCGCGGCCCCACGAGCTCGCCCTGGAGACAAGGGCACCTCGACTGCCTCAGTGGCCATCACCGCCACACACCCGTGCTGTCCCCTGGGCTGCTGGCTGGCAGCCTGCCCCTTGCTTGGCAGCACCTGGGAGGCAAAACAGAGCTGGGTTTTTCTTCTTCCCTCCCCGAAGTTGCAAAAACCATCAGCAACTTTTCTCTTGCGGGCGTGAGGCGAGCATGGTGCTTAAAGTTTCCCTGGTGCCCCCAAAATCCTCGTGCCTTGGCCAGGCACTGGACCCTCCACCAAACCCTGTTTGTTCAGGGCCATCCAGGTCCCCACCTCCAGCTCAAACAAAGGCAGGGCCTGCTCCAGGCTGCTCAGAGGAAGGTGCTTGCAAACAAGGAAGGTGCTTGCAAACCTGTTCCCCCTCCTCCTCCTCCCCCCAGGCTCTATCCGCCTTACACAGGGAGCCTGGCGTTTCCCAAGACGGGAAGCAGCTGCCAGCCGCTGGGTTAGAGCATGGGGTGGCCCTTCCTGCTCTTGCCCAACTGAGGAGAAGCAGGTGCAGAGGGTGGCAGGGCGGGAGGACTCCTTTGCCCTGCACTGTGCCGGCCCTCGGATACGGCACCGTGGGAGCAGCAAGCGGGGCAGGGGCCCCAGCAGCAGGTATGGTAGAAAAGCTGCAGGTTTGGGGTCCCACTGGGGCCAGGATCTCTCGGGTAGCTGCAGGTTTGGGGTCCTGCTGGGGCCAGGATCTCTTGGGGAGCTGTGGGCACGGGGCAGGACGCTGCAGCCCCCTGTGCCTTCCTGTTCAGTGCTGGGCTTGTTTAGCCTGGAGAAGAGAAGGCTGAGAGGGGATCTCATCAACACGTACAAATATCTGAGGGGAGGGGGTCACG